CTTCTTTCTTCTAGATCTCTGTGCAGCTTTTAGAACTATTGATCACCTTCTCTTCCCAGATATTCTCTCTCTGCTATGATTTTACGACACAGGTCTCACCTGGTCCTCGTTCCAGGCTGACTGCTTCTTCTCAGACTCTCATGCTGGATTTTCAACCCTGTCATGCCCACAGCTCTCAGCCAAAGCTCTGTTCTAGGCCTTCTTCTCTTTTTACTCAATACTATTCTTACCTCATCAGCTCCCATGAGTTCATATCTATCTGTGTGTATATATACATATATAATATATACATATATAATCTGTAGATATAGATATAGATATAGATACAGAGATTTATTTATCCAGTGGCCTCTTGGATATTTCACTCTGGCTATATCCTGTAAGGCAGGACAGACTTAATATGCCCAAAATAGAATTCATTCTCTCTCCCTCCAAACTCACGCCTCTCACCATCAAGGACCCCCACACTCTCCCAATCCCCCAGGCCTGCATCCTCAGTTTCATCCTCACTCTCACTCACCCCACACACACAGCTGCTATCCAATCTCATCACATCTACCTTCCCAATATCTCTTCTATAAAACCCTTCTCCCCAGTTCCACAGCAACTACCCTGCTGGAAGTTCCTATTGCCTCTAACGGGGCTGCTTGCAATACCTTTCTAACTGATCTCCCTGCTTCAAGTCTCTCCTGACTATAATCCACCCTCCACTCAGCTGCCAAACTATTTTCCTGAAGCATAAATCTGGTCATGTCACATACCACCACCAGTGACTCCCCATTGCTTCCAGGATCAAATATAAACTTCTCGGTTTGGCTTTTTCTTCACAATGAGGACCCTTCCAGTCACCCTACGCTTTCTTCCTCTCTATACACTCTGACCCAGCCACACCAGCTTGCTTGCTATTGCTTGCAGAAAGCCCTTTGATGCTCTGCACCTTTTCATGGGCTCTTCCCTGTCCCTGAAATGTTCTTCCTCCTCACACCCACCTAGGAGCTGCCCAAGGTTCCCTCAAGACTCAGCTCGACTCCCCCTTCCTGCAGGAAGCCTTTCTCAGTCCTCCCATCTGCTGATGCCTTCTCCCTGAGATGACTTGTAATTGGCCCCATCTATATCTTATATTCCCTATTTATTTACATATTTCTCACTTACTAAAAACATGAGTTCCTAGAGATTCTTAGAGATCATATTTGCCTTTCTTTGAATCCCCAGTGCTTAGCACATAGCTTGGCGCATAGTAAGTGCTTAATGATTCTTGACTAACCAGCTGACTGAAAATTAATTAGCTGGACTCAGTCACCCCAAAGTTTCTTTCTAGCTCTAAAGCTAAGTCTCAATTTGATTAAGGAGATAAGAGTTCTGCTGTCCCAGGTCAGAGAACATCTAGAGTATTGTGTTCAGGTCTCAGGGGGTCACATTTTAGAAATTATATCCTTTAAGTGGAGGGTGACCAGAATAATAAGAGACCTCAAGGTCATGCCACATGAGCATCAGTTGACCCCATTGGGAGTATTTGGTGCTGAGAAGACTGGGGGAGGGGGTAGAACTATCTTCAAGTATCTGAGAGGCCACCACATGTAAGGGAGATTAGATTCATTCTGGTTGGCCCCAGAAGGCAGAATCAGAAGCAGAGGGCAGAAGGTGAAAAACAGCAAACTTAGGTTGGATACCAATAAAAACTTCCCAGCAATTAAAGTGATATCAAAATGAAATGGGCTGTCTCAGGAGATAGTAAGTTCCTCCTCACTGGAGGGCCACCTCTCAGCTACGTGATAGAGGGAACCCTTCAGGTGGGGATTGGAGCAGATGACCTCTGAGAGCTCTCCCACTTTTGAGATCTGTTGGTTATTCACTAGTAATACTATCCTGTTTGACTTAAATAATTAATGGAGTTCGCATAGAGGCTCTACCTTCTTTGATAATTTTTCTCAACAAGCAATATCTGATCAGGGTGATGTCAAAAACAAAGAAAACCACAACTTGGTGAGTGTTCATGCATCTCTCAACTGTCATCTGGGGTCAACCACTACTGTGAAACTTCAGAGATGGAAGTGTTCCAAAATCCATAACCATACAGTATCATTGGGTGAATATCTACATTAAAAATATGGGGTTCTGAACCAAGGAGTAAGCTAGGACTTTTCAAAGTGTTGCACAATTTCTCAAATGCAAACCAGACCACTCTTACTCTGATTCAACTTGACTTCCAAATCACGGCCCATCACCGCCAGATTTGATCTGTCTAAAACAGAAGTATCCAGTCATTGTTCTGAGACCTCTGCTGCTTCTTTTGGATGGCAATACTATTCTGACACTGACTGACACTGACAATAGCTTCTTAAACAAAGTATAAAGGTCCCCACTGAAGACTTTGTTTGGGCATTGATGAAGTCTCCTTGATAAGATGTGAATTCCTTGCTATGACCTGGGTTGTCCTATTGACAGTACATGAAAAGTACATGGGAAAAGTTAACTGGTTTACTTCCATTTCTCACATCCTTGGACTTGTCTTTTATAAGGAAGAGAACCAATAGAGAATAAAAAGTAAGGGTCAGAGAGAGAGAAGCTGGCTGCACACATACATGCACGCGCGTACTCTCTCTCACACACACACACACACACGCACGCACATACACACACACACACAGATGTGATTCCCTCAAAAAGAATATAAGCTCACTGGAAGTAGGGATTATTTCATTCTATGTACTTGTATCCCCAGCACCTAGTATATAGTAGGTGGTCAATAAGTGTTTATTGGTTGGTTGAGTGATATGGCCTGTCCAGGTAACTGTGCTCTAGAGCAAGGCTTCTTAAACTTTCTCTACTCACAACCCCTTTTCCTGGCCACATTAGTTGGTGTTGTGTGACCTGAGGGCATGCATAGTGCAAAGTGTGCATGCTTTATGTTCAGAACTAAGGCTGCAGTGAAGTTCCTTCATGAAACACCTGGAAGTGATGCCAGAAACACCTGGATTCATTATGTGTTTGATTTTTAAATAATTGTTGGTCTTTGCGCATTCAGAAACCTTTTACTGTTGCCAAATTTTTCATGGCCCCATACAAAGTTGTGATCCACAGTTTAAGAAACACTGCCTAGACAACCCTATGGGTCTTAGAGATGGAAGGGTATACAGGAGTTCCAAAGTCAAGCCAAGAGCTAGAGTTCTGTGAGCCAGCTGTTGAGGGGAGGATTAGCAGAGGAGTTCCTGGACCAAGTAGGGTCCAGGACTGAGAAACAGCAAGAGATAGAGCCATGATGTGGCACAACAAACCCAGATATTGTCCTTCGCTGGTAATGTGAGATAAGTAGATGCTGAAGGGTCAGTTAAGGGGGTCAACTGTCTGGTAGTCTTGAATACTTTTCCAAGAAGTGGAAAACACTGGGAAATAAGGTTTTAGAATAAGCAATGAAAGAGTACAAAGTTTCATAGGCTCCAAAAAAGCTTCACACACCCTACGTCATGAATAGTCTCTCCAAAAATCAGGAGATACTGGACATAGTGAACATCAGGCAACATCACAAAAATGATTCAAGATGGAAAATGGGTGCTCTCCAAACACGTCTGCCACTATCTCAGATGACATCCAGCACACAATCCAAATGAAAGAAGGATTCTCTACAGGTGTGGAGGCTTCCATATACTCCTGTTTGCAGATGACATTATGCTGATTGAATTAATCCCCAGATCATTACAGATCCTCATCAATGAGATGCAGAAACACTCAAAATTGAGTTCTACTTAACTATCCACACAGGAAAAGTAAAGTGGATGAAAAATGTCTCTTGTTCAGATGATATTCAATGGGATAAGACAGCCCATAGAGCTGGTCCATGAGTACATACATCTTGAAAAGGCCCTGAAGATGACAACAAACTGAGCTAAGAACCTAAAAGGAGAACAAATTGCAATATGTCTAGGAATCTGTACGATGTTTTTAGTGACTCCCAAGCTGCTGCTTAAAATAAATGTCCATCTTTAAATAACAATATTCTTCTGAAGCAACATTACTACACCTCACAGAATACAAGTCACGGAAACACTAAGGTTGTAGGTCATCAAAAGAGCAAAGGAGACACGTGGCAGGAAAGGGCTGCAGGAGAGGTGTCAAACGTGAAGCCCACAACATTCTCAAATACAGCCCAAACCAGATTAAAATGCAATTGGGAAATATTTTTAAAATAAATAAAAATATAATAAAGCATAGATAATGTCAACATGTGATTTTTTTTAAGCCAATATGCACCTGCAGGAATCTGGTTTAGTAGCCCCCACTTTCTATCTGCAACCACTGGGCTATCACACATTACCAAAGAAGGATTATGTGGCAGAAGGGGTAGAAAAGACATTATCAGAGCAATGTAGGATCAGCGGGTCCATAACATGGCCAAAGTGAAGGATAACTGATGGAGAGCCTTTGTGTTCTATTGCTACTCATGCAATGTCAAGAATTCTAAGGGGAGGTCCCCAGTACATTGGGTGGTTGTTCCATAGAGCATTATGGAAGGTGTGGATGAGTTGCACTCTGCACCATTGAAGACAATACCCACATCAGGAAGATTGGGGATCTTTTGAAGTATTGATATCATTAAATCATCTCCTAGCTCGCTGTTTTGGTTACTCCATACACAGCTGAGAGTCCTGGGACGCACTATCACCCATGATCCGCACCTACCCTTGCATGACCAACCATACCGTCATCTAAGCTGAGCTGGAGCCTCAAGCCTAAAGCCTTAAAGTCTAACGTCTAAAGCCTAAGGCCATTCTCAGCCTCCCACGCCTTAAGCAGGGAAGTGCCCCTGCTTAATAAACACTACCTGGGGACGATAAAGATAAAAGAAACCAAAAAGCCTCTTCTCTGTAGCTTCCCATTGACAGAAGAATCAAGAACAGAATTGCTCAACACATAGGCCTTAGCAGGCTTTTTTTTTTTTAATGTACAGCTATCTCCTACCTATATCGCTGAGAAGATTCCACGACCCATAATCCCAGACTCACATTCTGGGCTTCCCGTAAGGAAATTCTTGGTTTCGCTCTTATGAAGGGCTTGGACTTTCTTCGAGGTTCAAAGGCTGCCCTCTTGAAGATCATGACTGCCATCTGCCTCAGAGACAACGACATTTAAAAACAACAATCAAAAGTATTCTGTGAAAGCGACATAACCAAGTGGAAAAGGAGGTGAGTTTCTCTGATTTCATTCATTCGCATACCTTTATGGTGGCTTCTCTAAAGCTTCTTTTCGCTTCTTCTTGCGGTGGTGTGAGGCTCATTACTTCTAGGTGTAATAATTCATCAATTTTTCCCAAACCTCGCCGAGCAAATATCTATTATGGATTGAACAATTTTTTTAAAAATTATTATATATTATAGAAGAGCAACGATTACAAATTTGCAAGGGAGAAATCACATTTTATTCTTCTATTTCTTTTCTGACATCAAAAGCTTTCAAAATAATATATACCTGAGCTATGCTTTCCTGGAAGCAAGCAATGAACTTCTTTTTTTCAATACAAAAAGGATACAAGGGCAGCTAGATGGCGCAGTGGATAGAGCACCAGCCCTGGATTCAGGAGGACCTGAGTTCAAATCTGACCTCAGACACAGAATACTAGCTGTGTGACCCTAGGCAAGTCACTTAACCCCATTGCCTAGCCAAAAACAAAAACAAACAAACAAAAAAAAAACCAACAACAACAACAACAAAAGTATGCAAGCAGTCACATATGCTAATTTTGCTAAGTACTCCCTAGGTAAAAATCAGAATTCAGAATGAAACCTTATCTTCAATCTAAATTACAATGAAATTGATCAGCTCATCATTATTTGAGATCTTCCAAAGACGATTACCCCCAAAAAGAACTTTTTAAAAATGTGAAAGATATAATAGTCTTATAAACTGAAGTCTGTTGTTATCTTCACAGAGCTCTTCTTGCAAAGGTTTCTTTGAGGATTCACCCAAACCTCTTCTAATTCATTTAGTAGCCTGAATGAAGCAGATGTTAGGTCCCGAAATTAACGCATAGAAAAAAATTTGACAAAGGTACGGGAAAAATAGACTTCCAGAAAGAAACATTATAGTCAGGAGTAAGCGCTCTTAACTTTGAGGTGGCTTAGTTCCTTTGACTAATATTTAATTCAATCCAACAAATATTTATTATGTAGCTACTACAAACAAGACAGGGCACCATAGTGCACAGAGTGCTGGGCCTGGAATCAGGAAGACTCATCTTCCTGAGTTCAAATCTGGCCTCAGACACTTCCTAGCTGTGTGACCCTGGGCAAGCCACTTCACTCTGTTGCCTCCATTTCTTCATCTGTCAAATGAGCTGGAGAAGGAAATGGCGAATCACTCCAGTATCTCTTCCAAGAAAACCCCAAATGGAGTCACTAAGAGTGAGACATGATTTAAATGACCGAACAACAACTAATACAACCAAGGCACTCTGCTAGATATTGAGATAAAAATAGCCCCTAAAAATAGGAGCTTATAATAGGAGGAAAAAAATAATATAAAAACAACTCCATTTATATAGTGTATGAAGGATCTCCAAAGAATCTCCTACTGACATGTTGGTAGAACAAGTATTATTATCAGATGAGAAAACTGAGGCTCAGGGGGATTAAAAGATTTGCCCAAAGTCATATAGCTGGTCAGTGTCCAAGCTGAGATATGAACCCAGGTCTACTGACGCCAAGACTAGTGAACTTTCCACTACTCGGCGATTTTGATAGCTACTTAGCTCCCCACCCAAAGCGTCGGCGCCATCTTGAGCCCTAAGCCAGTTGCAGAGAGAAGGATTCAGTGTAGACTGCCCATGAGCCCTACCCTCAAAATGGGCTGAGTTAAAAAGCTTCCCATAATCATTCCATGCATTACCTCGACTCCAGATATTCCACGGATAGCTCCTCTACTTTCTAAAAGAAGCAACACAGCAACAATCATGGTAACTGATTAATTTATGTAAAATCCTGCAGTTCTGCCTCAAGTCTAAAGCCACAAAGAGGGAGATGAGGGAGAGAGGGACTGAAGACAGAGTAAGAATAGAAGACAGAGAGTAAAATGAGGAAGGGAAGTCACAGGAATAAGGACTGGATTAAAAAGAAGAAGAAGAAGAAGGATCATAGACTCCAAGATTTAGAGCTGGAAGAGACCTTAGCATTCATTCATCGAGTCCAACCCCACAATTTTAGAGATAAAGAACCTGAGGCTCAGAAAAGTTATGTGACTCATCCAAAGTCACAAAGGTAGTGACAGAGCGGGGACATAGACCCACATGTTCAGGATCCAGGGAGATGGGACGAAATAGAGAACAGGGAAAACAAGAGAGATGAGAGAAGTAAAGCAAGAGAAGAGGGAGATGAGGAGGTCGGGCAGTTTATCCAAATAAAGGCCTAAAAATCATTCTTGACTCTCATACTTCTATAGAAGTAATTGCGACTTTAAAAAAGTAAGTCCCGAGCATGTTGGGCTTGCCTTTTTAAAAGTTAGTTGTATTGGGATTACCAAGGGAAAACCAATTACCTCTCCCTGAATTCCAGCTTGGCAGTCGTAGTAACACTGGGAAACGGCGGTGTATAGGGTAGCTCTCCAATTCAGATACCTAACCGCTAAAAGGGGGATACAGGATTCCATACATATACTTGCCCAAAGCAAGTATTCCAAGGCCTGTGGGAGAAACATAAGTGGTTCAGTGTTTTTGCCAAAACTTAGCAAAACCCAAATGGTCCAAACATGAAATTTCAGTGGTATAGGGAATCCTCAGCGGTAAAACCCCACTTCCCCCAAACCAATGCAGATCAGCACTGTCATGGACTGTGTAGTCTTTGAGACTTGTCTGCGCAGTTTAAGTGATTTACCCAAGGTTCCACAACTACCATGTAGCAGAAGGAAGATTTGAACCATGGTCTTCTTGATTCCTAGACTAGCTCACCATCCATTATACCACACTACTTCTCTATTGAAGGCTGCTAATGATTCTAAATATATGGTGTCTCACACTACAATTCTTCAATACAGACCAATGCCTACTAAAAGTAAAATATTGAAATAATGAAAAAATGCATTAGGAAAATCTATAATCATCATATTTCTGTTCCTACTCTACACTCCTTCTCCCTTCTCCCCACGCATAGGACCTTACTGATACTACCACTATATCTCCTCCATATAATGGTCCTCCATTCTAATTCTGCCCACCAAAACAATAAGGTAGCTGTCAGTAATGTCCCTGTCACAAAGGAACTTTTTGAAGATGGATGGAGGAAAAAATACAGAGAGTAGCATGGGAAGGGTCAATATTAAGATTTAAGGAAGCTTTGTTTTGTCCAAAAAAAGCCCAGTCTTCCTAGAACTATACTAAGAATTATGTCTTCAAGAGGACCTGAGTTCAAATCCAACCTCATACACTTGACACTTACTAGGTGTGTGACCCTAGGCAAGTCACTTAATACCAATTGCCTCACTAAAAAGAAAAAAGAAAAAAGAAAAGAATTGTGCCTATGCATCTTGGGGAGGGGAGAAAATTTAGTACCCAAAATCTTATAAAAGTGAATATTGAAAACTAAAAATAAATAAATAAATTTAATTTTTAAAAAGACAAAAAAAAAAAAAGAATTGTGTCTAATTCCAATAACATCTAGACAATGAACTACATTATTTTCACTGTTAATTTGGGGCTTCATTGCTGAAGAACCTGGCAAGTGCCCATTTCAGGTTCAAAGATGAAAAGCATTTCCAAGAATAAGGACCAATGTCGAAGTTTCCCCTTGTTACTGGAAAATAGAAAATGCATCTGCTACTATTGACTTCTGGTGGAAATGCATGTATTAGCCTCGCTCCTGGTTTTTCATACAAAAATTAAATCTTTTTGAAACTTCATATTTTACCCTGAAAATTCATAAGATAAGAGAGCTTGGAAAGGAAATAATATAGAAAAATATATATATAAAATATGAAGTAAGCACACAATTAACAAATCTAGCCACAAGGTGTCACTATGATACCATTTACATCTTCTAGGAAAATGACAAAGGCATTCTAAATTTAAAGAGATAGCCAGAATAAGGTTATATTAACTGCCAAATTATGAAATAATTTCAATATGTTTTTGCAAAATCAAAATATCAGACAATATTTTCAAATTTTTCATGTTAATTCCCCTTAACATCTTAAATATTTTAGCTAAGTCAACAATAAAAAAAAATTATTAAGCCTCGATTACATGCCATTGTAACTTTTACATATAACATGAGAATCTACTGATTATACCATGAAACTAGATCCTCTGTCTTTACTACAATTGTTATCAAAAAAAAAATTTTAAAGGCATGGGGCAGGGGGGTGAGGGAAAGAGAAGGAAGGAAGGGAGACAGACAGACAGACAGACTCATTTGCTTCCTCTACTAAATTATCCAGGTTTGATTTCCCACCTGGGCCAGTGTCAGGGCCTACCCTGGTCTCTGAAATCTTTGTAGGAATTTAGGGTTATGACAATAAAGTAAATAAGAAAATAAGCCTGCCCTGACCCTATCCCACCAAGATGTTCGACTGGTATCTGACCAGAGAGTTGAAAGAAAGGGCTTGGGCTAAGATGAAGTCAAATTTAGCACGTGAAAAATCATATACTTTGTTCATTCAGCAAAGGTTTCTTAAGCTCCTACTGTGATAGAGGACTTTCAGAAATAAATAAAATGAGGTCAATCTCTCATAGTCAGATTCTCCAACTCCAGAACCTACTTCAGTTCTGGGATAGAGGGGGTCCGAAGGTGAATGGAGGAAAGTTCTGAGCTCAGATTAAAAAGAAGTTTTTGGCCTCCTCTCAATCAAACCTGAACTCCAGGGCACCTACAGAACTAATCCGAGAGAAAATATGGTACAGTGGATGAAGAGCAGATTTCAGCTTTAGGAAGACCTAAGATCAAATGCCGCCTCATGTACTACTTGGGGGACCCTGAGGCAATCATGCAATCTCCCCCAGCCTCAGTTTCCTTATCTGTAAAATGAAGGGACTGCACCAGATGACCTCTGAGATTCCTTCCAGACCTTAATTTAGAAAGGCCAAGGCCATCCACTGTATCCCAAGCCATGGCCAGTCATCTAAATTTTTGTCTTGCCACTGGACCCCAATAACTCCAACAAGCTCTGCCTCACTTAAATTCACTCCACTGAAAAGTCAGGACATCACCCCAGGATGTCATTAGTCCTCTTGGAGAACAGAGGAAGGACAAGTAGATCTCAGCTCTGGATCTACAAGCCTGGGCTATGACTTAGGGCCAGACTGAACAGCCAAAGACACTTACAACTTGGAAAGAGCCCACTGACTCCAATCTGACCCAGACCTATAGTTCCAGAACCACCATTAATCTCAAAAGGAGGGAGAAGGGATGGAATCGGGCAGGAGCTGATTGGAAGCATTCATCTTGGTCTGAAAGAGGCTTTTCCTTCTCACTACAACCTGGCAATCTCCTGTTGGCTTCTTTTTTGGGGAGAAGAGGGGAGGAGAGGGGCTCATGGTGCCTTCCTCAGTCAGACAGCTTATAGGAGTTTTTTTATTTAATACTTAGTATTTTAATATTTAAATTTTTAATATTTAAAACTTAATATTTTATTTAATCTTTCAAATTTGGGGTTTGTGAACTTTTTATTTAATATTTTGATAACTATTTCAGTTTAACTGACTTCCTTTGCAATCCTAAATATTTCATTTTACGCATTTAAAAACACTATTCTGAGCAGGGATCCATAAGCTTCACTGCACCTCCCACAGGGAAAGCCGCGACACACACACACACAAAAAAAAAGGATTAAAAACCCCTGTTCTAGAAACATATGTGACAAGGCATGATTTACATAAACTACAAATAACAAATTATTTTAAGATGACTCAAGCTAAATTAAAATTCTCCCCGGGTGACCACAAACAAAAAGCTAACAGTCAAATGTTGGCACAGACCTCGACATCCTCCTAGCTTTGGCAGCCAGACCCTGGTTAAGGAAGCGAGCCACGGCACGGTGATTCTGGGGAGCAGGGTTTATTGCTACACGGAGGACAAGAAGAGGATGGGATTTCTTTTTAGAAAATCATCTGGAACTGAATGCAGTCTCTGGAAGAGTCTGGAGGCCAGCTTTACAAATGTGCACCACCCTCCCTTTTAATTAGTGCTTAAAGGACCATCAATGACCAGCACTTTGGAATTCCAAAGGCCCTAGATAATGTCCCCTGTGCTCTTCGGCAGGCAGAGAGCTATGCAGCCTCGGCCTATTGTCCTTTCAAAAATTCTATTAACTTTTAAAATGCAAAGTGATTTGTTGTTTTGATTAAAACTATTTTAAATACTTCTGAGCTCTGAATGCCAACATGTTCAGGAAACAGGTTTGCACAGCACTGACAAAAAGGAAAAAAAATGTCCAGCCATGTGGCGAGTGCCAGTAACAACTCAAAAATGGCCCCACTGGGAATGTCATCTCATTTCTTGGCCAGCATCCTGATGTCAGGACAATGGATGCAGGGGAAGAATGTGTCTCCTATGGACAAAAATACCATTGGTATTTGCAGCGACTTAACAACAGTCAAGTTTCAGCAACTCCTCTCAAATGGAAGTCACATCAGTGAAGTTTGCTGATCAGTGAATGACATTATAAAATAAAACTCCCTGGCAACCCTAAGAGAGAGACCTTGTTACAGGATTTAAGTGCCCATCTATGCAACCAGCAGCTGGGCTCAGAATCAGAACGACCAAGGTTCTAACTGAGTCAGACCCTTACCAGCTGTATGGTCCTGGGCAAGTCGATTAATCTACCTCAATTTCCTCATTTGTAAAACAAAGAGGGGTTAGATTCTGAGGCCTCTAAGGCAGGAATTCTTAACCTTTTTTGTATCTTGGGCCCTTTGGCAGTTGGTGAAGTCTAGGAACCTTTTCTCAGAATCATGTTTTTAAATGCATAAATAGAATTTATAGGATTACAAAGAAAACCAATTATATTGAAATGCAGTAGTCAAAATATTAAAAACACAAGTTCCCAAACCCCAATTAAGAACCTCTGTTCTACAGTTCCTTCCAGCTCTAAATCCAAGGTCCTGTGATCTGGGCCTGGCAAAATTGCCAGAGTAAAAGCAAGACCACAAGAGGCCATTAGAGATACTACTGTTTGCCTCTACCATTGACTATTCATCTAGGCAACCCAAACACAAAGTCTTTAGAGGTAACCCTGAACATCCAGTGACTTCAGATTCTACCCTGTCAAGGTAAATAAAGGACAGGGAGAGTCCTCTTTAGTACCTTCTAGTCAAAATGCCCCATTACAAAAGAATTATGAATGTAATAATGGATATCAAAGACACATAAGGGAAAAAGAGATTGGCTGGTCACAGGGCGGGAGTGAGGCCTACATAATCCAATTAAGAGCATAAATGCTCCATTGGCACCCTTCTGAGGGCACTGAGAACTCAAGTATGTTGGGTGGGGCTCCTACGGTGAACAAGGATAATAGTCTTGAAGATTAGGCAGGTAAGGAAGGGTTATGACCGGAAAGGAAAAGTCACCGTGAAGAGACCATTGCTCTATGAGATTATTTAAGTAATTATTATAATATCTACAATTTAACCTAGAACTGCCGTTAGTTTTGGAACGTGGTGGTAGTGTGATTACCTGGCCCACAGAAATGGCCCCCAGATTGGCCTTCTATGAGTCCAAGAACTCTCCTCTTCCTTGCAATAGTGTGAGTCATTGGTATAATGGTTTTATTAGCACTGACAGTACTAGTCTAGAACATCAACCCAATTCAGTTCAGGCAACAGGAACCATGAAAATTCACAAATGAGTCTTACTTAAATACTTTTTAAACTTTCTTTATTTTTCTTATTTTAGCGTGCATGGGTGTGTATGTATGTATGTGGGTGGGTGGGTGGGTTTTCTTGCAACATGGCTAACATGAAAATATGTTTTGCATGACTTCACAGGTAAAATCAATATCCTATCACTTGCCTTCTCAAAGGGTGGGAGGGTAGTAGGAGAGAATTTTGAACTCAAAATTTTTAAAAATAAATGTTTTTTAAATTATTTTTAATTTTATTTGTAATTGGGAAATGTTTAATGAAATAAATAAAAATATATTTTTAAAAATCAGTCTTATTTGTAGTGAGGAATGTCAATGTGACTTGATAAAATAACTGGGACATAAGAGATTTTTTTTTAAAGAATTACAATTTTAGACTGATACTATAAACAAACTGGGAAAGCAAGCAGATCGATGGAGAAGGGAAGAATTTATGACCAAACAAGAGACAGAGAACATTATTAAATGCAAAATGGATGATTTTGGTTACATTAAATTGAAAAGTTTTTGCACAAACAAAGCCAATGCAACCAAGATTAGAAGGGAAGCAGAAATCTGGGAAACAACTTTTACAGCCAGTGTCTCTGATAAAGGCCTCATTTCTAAAATATAGAGAGAACTGAGTCAAATTTATAAAAATACAAGTCATTCCCCAATTGATAAATGGTCAAAGGATATGAACAGGCAGTTTTCAGCAGAAGAAATTAAAGCTATCTATAGTCATATGAAAAAATGCTCTAAATCACTATTGATTAGAGAAATGTAAATCAAAACTACTCTGAGGTACCACATCACACCTATCAGATTGGCTAACATGACAAAATAAGACAATGATAAATGCTGGAGAAGATGTGGGAAAACTGGAACACTAATGCATTGTTGGTGGAGTTGTGATCTGATCCAACCATTCTGGAGAGCAATTTGGAACTAAGCCCAAAGGGTTATACCCTTTGACCCAGCAATACCACTTCTAGGTCTGTATCCAAAAGACATCATAAAAACCGGAAAAGGAGGAGATGGCTAGGTGAGCAGTGGATAGAGCACCAGCCCTGCAGTCAGGAGGACAAGAATTTAAATTCAGCCACAGACACTTGACACTTACTAGCTATGTGACACTGGGCAAGTCACTTAACCCCATTGCCTTACAAAACAAACAAAAAAATAAAAATAAAAAGGGAAAAGGACCCACATGTACAAAAATATTTATAACAGCTCTTTTTGTGATAACCAAGAATTGGAAATTGAGGGGATGCCCATCAATTGAGGAATGGCTGAACAAGTTGTAGTATATGAATGTAATGGAATACTATTGTGCCATAAGAAATGATAAGCAGGCAGACTTCAGAAAAACTTAGAAAGACTTGTCTGGACTGATGCTGAGTGAAGTGAGCAGAACCAGGAGAACACTGTACATAGTAACAGCCACAATGTGGGACGACCGACTTTGATAGACTTAGCTCTTCTCAGCCATGTAAGGAACTGAGACACGTCCAAAAGACTCACAGTGGAAAATGCTTATCCACACCCAGAGAAAGAACCCTGGAGTCTGAATGCAGGTGGAAGCAGACTACTCGCTCTCCTTTTCCTTTGTTGTTTTGTTTTGTTTCTTCTTTCTCATGGTTCCTCCCATTAGTTCCAATTGCTCTTCACATCATGACAAATGTGAAAATATACTTAATATGAATGTATAAGTAGAGCCTACATCAGATTGCACATTGTTTTGGGGAGGGGGGAGGCAAGGGAGGGGGAGAAAATTTAAAACTCAAAATCTTATGGAAGTGAATGTTGAAAACTAAAAATAAATTAATTAATTATTAAAAATTATAATTTTTTGAGGCAGCTAGGTGGCACAGTAGATAGAGCACCAGCCCCAGAGTCAGGAGGACCTGAGTTCAAATCAGGCCTCAGATACTTGATACTTACTAATTGTGTGACCCTAGGCAAGTCACTTAACCCCCAATTGCCTCACCAAATATATATGTGTATATCTATCTATCTATCTATCTATCTATCTATCTATCTATCTATATATATATATATATAATTTTATCATTTTCAGTTATTTAGCATAACCCTGGTAACAGAGACAGAAGGAGAAGGCCCGGGTTTAAATCCTGTCAAAATGGCAATATGCTCCATATTGAACATACCTTTCAGTGGAGCATACCCATTGATAAACTCTGCCTCCAAAGTCATCGTAAAAGGAATAAAGGATCTATCCACACAACAATATTCAGAGCTGTTCTTTTGCAAGGGCAAAAGACTGAAAAACAACCTGTATTTTCAACAACCACAGAACAGCTGAAGAAAATCGTGGTATATTAATGTAATAGCAAATCACAATGCTGACATCAAAATTAAAAATACAAAGCCTACAAGGAAATATGCAAAGAGACATGATGTGACATAGAATGTAAGAAAGATCAAAAGCTGAAGAATTTTGGACAGGCCTGGAAGAGGATATGGAAAAAATGCATCTTCTTTGATTCTTGATAATTCATTTGGTTCTGCCTTATTAGTGGCTATGAGCTTAAAGTACGATTTTATCCCTTGTTTTATAGGTTTGATTATTTCATTGTGCAAGTCACAATAACTTTTTAGTAGTCAAAGACTATGTTTAAAACAAGGTGTCAGCCTGCTGTGGTGAGGAAATGTTCCTCAACCTGGAAGTCCCCTATAGTAATGAAATCACAAGCTTACTCCTTATGTCTGTCAACGTTTGTTACCTTACTGGTAACAAAATTTTAAATTATGAAGTAAACATTTTCGTAAGCCTAAATACAAACTCAGGAAACAACTGAACAAATTTTCCTCTTTTTTTTGGCGTTTCTTTTGTTGTGTACAACTCAAAGTCTTTTTTTTTTTGTAAACAGTATTTTATTTTTTCCAATTACATGTAAAGATAGTTTTTAACACTCATTTTTTATAAGATTTTGAGTTCCAATCTTTTCTCCCTCCTCCCCTCTCTCCCCCCACCCCAGACCACAAACAATCTGATATAGATTATTGTAATCACGTTAAACACATTTCCATATGAATCACGTACAACTCAAAATCTTAAAAGGAACTGATTAGATTACAATAAATCTTTCAATACTTCTTTTCATACCTTAGCAGACAGCCCGATGACCATCAACTTCCTACAAAGTGTATAAATATGAATTGTACCTAGGTGGAGAAAATATTGAGTTAGCATCTTTTCAATGAAATGGCAGCAATCACAGACTAGGAGTTTTCAACTTGAATTGTGTTGGAGTCAACTTTAATTGGCTCTGGAGAGCTGGATGTTAAAATTTTCAGTGTGAACATTCTCACCTCGGAAGCCAAAAATTACAAATCAAAACCCGATTTATCATTCTGTTGATTGTCTAGACGCAAGAAAGTGATAAAGAAAATGTTAGTCGTGCAGATGAAACTAAAAAATGTGTTTAGGTAATTTTCTTCCCCCAAGAGCTGGTTGTTAAACATTGACCACACCCCTCTGCAATAAATGACCTAGAAAACTGGTGACTTTAGAGAGATCTGACTTGTCTAGGCATTGATTTTCTAGAAATTTTCAAGTAAAAATATTCAACAAAAGAATTTGAATGCAAATTTTAAATGTGATGATAGACTCAGTAATCTTTCAGTCTTGACTTTTTGGGTAATTTTGATTTGAAAACTACACTGAAATGAAAAATGTTTTACAGGGACATAAGTTACATAAACTAAGGTTTCGTCATGACCATAAAAAGGTTCACATATTCATCTCTATTATTTAAAAGCTGGAAAGCTGGGCAGCTAGGTGGCACAGTGGATGGAGCACCAGCCCTAGAATCAGGAGGACCTGAGTTCAAATCCCATCTCAGACACATAACACTTAACTAGCTGTTTGATTCTGGGCAAGTCACTTAACCCCAATTGTCTCACCACAAAAAAAAAAAAAAAAAAGGCTGGAAAGGCTTCATTATCTGTGAGATGATAGTAATATTTGATCTGAACAATGAAATATAAGTAAGGGAAAAAACAAGGAAATTAATATCATTAAGAATAATGCCCTGGAAAATACAAAGAATTAGCACATGGATTGTTTGTTGGGGTTTTTGCAGGGCAAGGGGTTTTTTGAATGACAGGGATAGGATGAAGGACTATTGTCAGGGGGGTGGTATGGAGGGCAGCCTTCCTAGGGGAAGTCATTACGATAAAAAGCTTGGGAATAACAGAGTTAAAAGGGATTGCCCAGGGCTAAGAAATGTCTTAGAAACTTAGAAATGTTTAAGAGCTTAATTTTGATGACATTGGTGGGGAGGGGTCAGGGAAGGTGGGAAAATAGACTACCAGCGAGCACAGATGGGAACAGTCTAGTACCTGGTACCTTATAAATAATCATGGCCTCCTTTTATATCCACATACCTGAAACCATGAGGAATTCAATGTTTCTTCTTTTCAGAAGATTTTTATACCTAGTCATATTTTGACAAAAGAACGTCCCCCCAAAATGTTTATAATTGTAGATGGCTATAGAGCACTGGATCTGGAGTCAGGAAGACTCGAGTTCAAATTCTGCCTGAGACACAGACCCTGGGCAAGTCATTTAACCTCTGTCTGCCTCAGTTTTGTCATCTGGAAAATGGGACTAACAACAGCATCTCCTTCCCAAGGTTGTTGTAAGGATCAAATAAGATAATGGACGTCAAGTGCTTTGCAAACCTTAAAGCATTGCATGAACGCCAGGTATTATTATTGCTGTTTATTATATTGTAATATCATATATTATTATATGTTATAATATTATATTATATTGTTTATTATAACTTCTAAATATGAAGGTAGCTAAGATTCACTGAGAATATGAAAAAATATTTCTATGACACAGGACGACACAGTCAGGACACAGTCCAGCTAGGAAAAAAATTCTCTTTTTTTTGTCTTTTTTAATTTTTAATTTTTTTAATTTTAATTTTTTTTTAATTTTTATTCTTTCTTTTTCAAGTAATGAGTAAAGGTAGAAAGTTGCCTATGTCTACCCAAATAATAGGAAGTCAAGGTGGAATGGTATTTGGAACCAACTTGCCTACCAGTAGTCATCCTGTGCTCTCCCCATTTCCACACAGTTACCTTAGGCCCTACCCAGGCAACAATTTGTACACAATTTATTATATTATATTATATTATATTATATTATATTATATTATATTATA